AGGAGGAGGAGGAGGAAGAGGAGGAGACAACGGAGAGGATCCGTCAAGGACAGCAGCAGGAGGAGGGGGAGTAGAAAGAGGGGAGCGCACCCCAGCAAGAGCAGCAACCGAAAGGGAAGCAGGGTCCAAAGAAACCTCCATAGCAGGAACAGGGGGCGCAAGCACTGAAACGGGAGGGGAAGGAGCAACAGAGCCAGAAGGAGGAGCTGAGGAAGAAAGCGAAGCCTTCTTACCCGCCGGGGAAGAGGAAGGAGAGGAGCCAGGCTTACGCTTCTGACTTAAAGAGACCGGTGTCCCAGCAACTACGTACCGGGCAACGGATTCCAGTGTCTCAACCGGAGAAGCCGAACGAGAGCACACACGACGGCCGGTAGGAGAGCGATGGACATCCGCCCGCACCGACAGGCGGTGGGGAGAGCTGATAGAAGGAGGAAGAGGGTGGGAAGGAGGACCGGTGGGGGACGAGGAAGAAGACACAGAAGACACGACAGACCGGGTAGAAGGAAGGGGAACCCCAGACAGAGGACCAGGAGGAGGATCCTTCGGGAGAGAACCCGAAGGAACAGAGGAGGGGGCAGTGGGCGCATCAGGGTCCAAGGCCCGGAAACGGTTGTGAGTCTGAGGAAGGCGGGAAGGACGAGGAGAGGAAGAGCGCAACACGCGAGCATAAGAGATATTAGCATAAGGCGGGAGCCGGCGAACCTGGCGCCTCGCCTCAGGAAAAGATAAACGCTCCCGGTGCTTCAGGTTGAGGACGGCTGCCTCAAGCTTGTAATGGACACACGCACGGGAGAAGGTAGGATGGGCCTCACCGCAGTTGAGGCAACGAGCCTGGGGAGAAGTGCACTCCGACTTAGAGTGACCTTCGCCACCACACAAAGGACAGAGAGAGACAGTCCCGGAGCAGCGGAGGGCACCATGCCCAAACCTCCAGCACTTGTTGCAGAGCCGAGGAGAAGGAATGTACTCCTGGACAGAGCACCTGGCACCAGCAAGAATGACAGAGGGTGGAAGGGTCCTACCATCAAAGGTAATCTTCACAACCCGGAGGGGTTGACGGCGACTACCACGAGGGGGACGAGTAAACGTGTCCACCTGGAGAATAGAATGGCCCTGGGCAGCGAGGATATGTCGAATATCGTCGTGGCAGTCGCGCAGGTCCCGAACACCGGTTGCAACATGGGGCGGGAGCAAAATAGTGCCAACACTGGCATTCAACTGAGCGTTTTTCGAGACCCGAACGGGGGTCTCGCCAAGGCAGGACAAGGCAGCCAAGCGGGAAGCAGCATCCTGAGAAGGAGCAGCAATGACACGTGTACCGAGACGAGTGGGGTTGAAAGTAATGGAGGCATCCACAGAATCAATGAGATGTCGATGAAGGGAGAAATCGTCAGGAGGCGCAGAATCAAGAGGGAGGAGATCAAAATATTTGGCCCACGAAGCGGGACCAAACAAGGCTTGATAGGTAGCAGAACTGGAAGGAATCGAGCGAGGGCGGCCGTGACGAGGACGGCGGTAAGAACCCCCAGAGAGAGAGGGGTTAAAAGGCGCAGTAGTTACAACTAGAGAAGGAGCCGCGCCAGGGGACGAGGTAGTCACCACTGGGGGCTTGGGGCTCGACCCAACCACAGAGGAGGGAAGGGAGCCAGGGGAAGGAGTCAGAGAGGCCAAAGGAGGAGCAAGGTCGGGGCCCAATGCAGCGGAGGCTACAGAGCCCGGTCTTCCAATACGGACCGACTCGGGGGCTTGGTCGCCCACCCCACGAGCCTGAGAAGGGAAGCCAGAAGCAGCCGAAACAGGGGTTTTCATCGTGACGAAAAGAAAAATTCACTCACGAATGTGCCCCCACACCCACCATGGAGCCACAATTAGAGGCAGGACACCCAACAAGAAGCTATCGCCGATCTTGTCGGGGCCTCCTAGGGGTGCGTCGTGAGTATACGCCCCACAAACGCCACCTTAAGAAACCGACAGTCCGTCGAGATCGGGTTCAGTGACGAAGTGGGGATTGACAATAAAAGGTTCCCCTCGCTCTCGACGTCGGGTACTGCAGTTCTACGGGTGCATGAGTATGCCTCCTCAAGCACCCGGGCGTCAAAATAGAAGAAGTCCATGGAAGAACCAGAACGAGCAAAAGGTCGGCAGGAAACGGCAAGCAGATAGGAGAAGAGGGGGGAGAAAAACGAAACAGAAGGAAAAGGAAAGGTGCCCAGCAGAATTGGAGAGGACGGCAGCAGGAGCACAAGGCTAGAAAAGGACAGAGGACTGTCCGAAGGAGCATCACACTCCGGCAGCCGCCCACGAAGCCCCCACACGGCGACAACGAGCTGAGCGGGGAGGGGGTGGGAAAGGGTAGGGGGAGGCAGTAATTTGGCAAGGGGTGATCTCCCATGGGGCAGGAAAGTGTCGTTGTTGTCTCTCTTGGTAGAGGTGATTAATATTATACATTCTGAGCACATTGGCGGTTTTGGTAATCCATTTGGAGGGATGCTGACCTTCAAGAAAGAAGGTTCGGAGGGCTTTAGTGCAGGGGTTAGGGTGGGTTAGCCTAAACATGTTAATACTAATTAAATAATTAATTTCAACGACACGATCACTTACACATGGAACATTCAGTTCCTTCCTCGTGTTTAGTAATTTAGTTGTACGGGGACATCCGAGGATAATCCTCATGGCTTCGTTTTGCATCTTTTCCAGTCCTCCAAGCATTCTCTCATGAACTAGAGCATGCATGGGTGCAGTATAATCGATCAGAGATTGATTATGCTGCATAATGCTGTACATGAGAGGTACATCATTTTGGTAATTCTAACAATTGCACCATAGCTTGGATGGTAGCCTGCCACAGTCTTGAGAACACGGAGCCTCTCTCTACATTGACGACCCAGTCTGGCTACAATACTGCGGTACAGTGGAACCTCAAGACCATGGTATTTGTATCTTACATAGTCGAGCAGAGAGCCATCATGCAGCTGTATCTTGCTAACAGCCCCACCTCCGTCTGGGTGGGCGTCGGTCCCACCTCCGTCTGGGTGGGCGTCGGTCCCACCCCCGTCTGGGTGGGCGTCGGTCCCACCCCCGTCTGGGTGGGCGTCGGTCCCACCCCGTCTGGGTGGGCGTCGGTCCCACCCCGTCTGGGTGGGCGTCGGTCCCACCCCGTCTGGGTGGGCGTCGGTCCCACCCCCGTCTGGGTGGGCGTCGGTCCCACCCCCGTCTGGGTGGGCGTCGGTCCCACCCCCGTCTGGGTGGGCGTCGGTCCCACCCCCGTCTGGGTGGGCGTCGGTCCCACCCCGTCTGGGTGGGGGTCGGTTCAGGATCTTTGTTTTCTCTACTGAAATAATTAAGCCTAATTTCTGACGTGTGTTCAATACAGAGTTCAGAACATTTTGGGTGTTGGTATAATCATAAGCGTGGATCAGTATATCATCCACATAGCTAATGTATTCGCTGCGCCTCCTTGTTTCTGAGTTAAGGAGTACATTTATTAAAACATTGAACAGAGTAGGACTGAGGACACCTCCCTGTGGAATGCCCGGTTCAAAATCTCTCGTTACACCCCGTGCCCTTGCGACAGTACAGATGACTTCCTGTTGGATAGATAGCCTCTTATCCACCGTAGTAGCCATCCTCCAACATTCACTTTAGCAAGTTCACTCAGAATGACGTGTGGGTTAGCAATGTCAAAGGCTGACTTAAGATCTAGGAAAGTGGTATATGACTATAAGTATGCAGAGTGATGAAGGCGGTAATACAGTGATGTACACGCTTTCCATGCGTGAAACCATATATCTGGGGAGACAACAAATTACTAATTCTATACAGGAGACAGTTTAGAACCATCCTCCGAAGACACTTTCATAGACAACTAGTGAGGGAGACTGGACGAAAACCACTTTGTTAGTTACGTTTAGGAATGGGAATAAAAAGGCTGTTGGTGCACGACTTTGGAAGCTTCCCAGTTTCTTAGCTCATATTATACAATTCAAGCAAGGGATTTGCTGGCACTAGCAGAAGGATACGCAGAATGGCGTAAGTAACTCCAGCCTCCCCGGGAGATCTCTGCAACATGTTTCTCTTTGAACCTTCCCAAGCAATCGAGACTAATGTTTATTATTTCCAGAAAGCGTAAAATTTCACAGCGTTCTTACTGTTGCACGTAAGAGCAACACATTATACTAAATATGCTATGATTCCATTTCAATATTTCCGATTGCACTGATAAATAGAATTTATATAGATTTTTATTTATTTTTATTTTTATTTCATTATTTTGTGTGATATTGGCTTGGAACTGTTTACCATGCCGTTCTTTTTGTGCGTATTGCTTATTTTTGTCATTGTTTTTATTTAAATTTCTTAACTGTTATTCTTAATTTTCAGTAATGAACACATCAGATCATATGATGTTCCCAATTATATGATGGGTACATGAGATCATTTAGGAATGCATCGGACGAAGGAGTGGGATATGGTTGGGAGGGGGACAAGGGGACAGGGGAGGGGGGTGATGGTGGAGGAGGACAAGCGGATGAGGGAGTTCGGGATGGTGGGGGACGGGGGGACTGGGGAATGGAGAATGGTGGGGAGGACAAGGGGACAGGAAAGTGGGGAATGGTGGGGAGGAGGAGGGGACAGGGGAGGGGGAAAATGGAAGGGAGGACGAGGGGTACGGGTGAGGGGGAAATGGTGGGGAGGACTGGGGAACAGGGGAGCACCTTGCACCGTTGCTCACCTCAGCAACGCATATGAGTTGGTGAGCCACAGCAACGCGTGGCCGGGTACAGCTAGTATTGAATAAATGTCCTGGATAATACGAGTTTGAGTAAAGGAGTGGAAATATTTACCTAGTAACATACTAGACGTGAATTCCCTTGATTCTTCCAGGCGTAGATTATACATATATGAATGAATTTAAGAATATATAAATAGGTGCTTTATATGGGCCAATTAGCCTTTTACAACTTAATATATAATCTTGTGCAATATGGACCAACACTGACCTAGAATGGGCGCTCCTCCGTCACTTGTAGGGATGATGGTGAGGTTGAGGGCGTGATGGGTGGCGTGCCCCAGGGCCAGTGTGGGCGGCGAGGGCGGCGTGACGGCCACTACCAGGTGCGTGAGACTGTCAGCGCCCACGGCATTGCGCACCCAGCAGGTGTAATTGGTGGTCTCTCGAACAGCTGCGGGTGGTCAAATTATTTGCTAGAGCAGCAGAGCCCTCTGGGAACGATGGCAAGAAGACAGGGCCTAAACTTGCCTTAAATACAAAAGCTGAAAATGCTTTGGGTGTGTCAGAGGCTCTGAATACTTGTACTGTGTGACTACTGACCTGTAAGGTGAAGGTCACCGCCTGGCAGCAGCTGCGTCATCTGGCCGCTGGTGACCGCCGCCCCCGCCCGCGTCCAGCTGATGGTCGGGGCGGGCGAACCGAGCCCACGGCACCCCAACGTCACACCCGAACCCGCACCCACTCGCCACGTCCGCCCACCGCCCACAGCCACGGCCGAGTGGGTGGGCTTTGGGGTGGGCAGGGCTGTGAGACGGGGCGACGGGTTACCCTCGCCGGCTACCGTAGTCGCAGTCACCCACACCTGATAGGAAACATCCATCAATCAACCGGACAACACCGATCAATCAACCGGACAACACCGATCAATCAACCGGACAACACCGATCAATCAACCGGACAACACCGATCAATCAACCGGACGTAGACGCACGAGTTAATTATTGTGACGCGGTTGGTTACTTGCATAAAATGAGCTATAATTATTCAGAAGAAATTAAATAAATTATTAGTGTCCCTTATTACCACTGGATTAGTGCTCTAGAACCACTGGATTAGTGTTCCCTAGAACCACTGGATTAGTGTGTCCTAGAATCACTGGATTAGTGTGCCCCTAGAACCACTGGATTAGTGTTCCCTAGAACCACTGGATTAGTGTTCCCTAGAACCACTGGATTAGTGTCCCCTAGAACCACTGGATTAGTGTCCCCTAGAACCACTGGATTAGTGTCCCCTAGAACCACTGGATTAGTGTGTCCTAGAACCACTGGATTAATGTCCCCTAGAACCACTGGATTAGTGTGCCCTAGAACCACTGGATTAGTGTGCCCTAGAACCACTGGGTTAGTGTGTCCTAGAACCACTGCATTAGTGTGCCCTAGAACCACTGGATTAGTGTGCCCTAGAACCACTGGATTAGTGTGCCCTAGAACCACTGGATTAGTGTGCCCTAGAACCACTTAAGCAGCTTGCCTTAAGACGACTCTGTTTACTGTAATGAATGACATATTGCGAGTTTTACAAGTTATTTACCCCTTGGGGTAAAATCCAAGTTAGAAACTATAGCCAGCGTGATTCAACTTGACTCTACGTCACTCAAGTTCACACCAGAGTGCTTGCACCTGAACACTGAGGCTGTCTGTATGAGTAGGGCCTAAAACCTGTACCATCATAATGTCATAATGACGTCACAGTTTATCTTGGTGTTAGATTGTGTTTTGTTGGACTGGAAATGCGAGGTATTGGTGTCTCACCTGGACTCTGGAGGTCGGGGTGAGGCCAGTCAGCTCCCTCCAGGTGGCCTCGGAGCCTCCTGCTCCCACCACGTCACGAACCGCCACCTGAAACACCGCCACACACCTGGCTCAAGCTTAGCTTACAGTCAGGTGTACACACACACACACACACACACACACACACACATTCTCAGTGATATCAAAAAGTGATATCATTAGTGATACAAATGACATCATCGTGACTGAAACATTTCAAATTCGTCATTGGGAAACGTGAAGATTTTTCAACAATTTAGGTCTACCAGCGTCCCCCGAGGCCAGCCTATGATGTTTCTCCCCCCCCCCAAGATGCAACCCACAAAAGTTGGCTAACTCTAGGGCATTCATTTACTGCTAGGTGAAGAGAAGCATTAGGTTAAAAGGAAAATTTATACGATATGGGATTTATTCCACCCCATAGTGGCTACAAGATCTATTCCACCCCATAGTGGCTACAAGATCTATTCCACCCCATAGTGGCTACAAGATCTATTCCACTCCATAGTGGCTACAGGATCTATTCCACCCCATAGTGGCTACAAGATCTATTCCACCCCATAGTGGCTACAGGATCTATTCCACCCCATAGTGGCTACAAGATCTATTCCACCCCATAGTGGCTACAAGATCTATTCCACTCCATAGTGGCTACAAGATCTATTCCACTCCATAGTGGCTACAAGATCTATTCCACCCCATAGTGGCTACAAGATCTATTCCACCCCATAGTGGCTACAAGATCTATTCCACCCCATAGTGGCTACAAGATCTATTCCACCCCTCGGGGGCCTCGTAACCTGGTAGATAGCGCGCAGGACTCGTAATTCTGTGGCGTGGGTTCGATTCCCGCACGAGGCAGAAACAAATGGGCTAAAGTTTCTTTCACCCTGAATGCCCCTGTTACCTAGCAGTAAAATAGGTACCTGGGTGTTAGTCAGCTGTCACGGGCTGCTTCCTGGGGGTGGAGGCCTGGTCGAGGACCGGGCCGCGGGGACACTAAAGCCCCGAAATCATCTCAAGATAACCTCAAGATAACCCCATAGTGGCTACAAGATCTATTCCACCCCATAGTGGCTACAGGATCTGTTCCACCCCATAATGGCTACAGGATCTATTCCACCCCATAGTGGCTACAGGATCTGTTCCACCCCATAATGGCTACAGGATCTATTCCACCCCATAGTGGCTACAAGATCTATTCCACCCATAGTGGCTACAAGATCTATTCCACCCCATAGTGGCTACAAGATCTATTCCACCCATAGTGGCTACAAGATCTATTCCACCCCATAGTGGCTACAGGATCTGTTCCACCCCATAGTAGCTACAGGATCTGTTCCACCCCATAGTGGCTACAGGATCTGTTCCACCCCATAGTAGCTACAGGATCTGTTCCACCCCATAGTAGCTACAGGATCTGTTCCACCCCATAGTAGCTACAGGATCTGTTCCACCCCATAGTAGCTACAGAATCTGTTCCACCCCATAGTAGCTACAGGATCTGTTCCACCCCATAGTGGCTACAGGATCTGTTCCACCCCATAGTAGCTACAGGATCTGTTCCACCCCATAGTAGCTACAGGATCTGTTCCACCCCATAGTAGCTACAGGATCTGTTCCACCCCATAGTGGCTACAGGATCTGTTCCACCCCATAGTAGCTACAGGATCTGTTCCACCCCATAGTAGCTACAGGATCTGTTCCACCCCATAGTAGCTACAGGATCTGTTCCACCCCATAGTGGCTACAGGATCTGTTCCACCCCATAGTAGCTACAGGATCTGTTCGGTTACTAAGGCACTTTAACTGGGCTGGAAATTAGACAACCCACATTTTAGGGTTCCGGTAGTTAAGTTGACTTCGTTCTCGACTCACAATCGAGAATTCCGGGTTCGAATTCCGAGCGGGACAGAAATGGTTGGGCACATTTTCTATCACCTAATTTTCCTGTTCCCCCTAGCAGTAAGTAGGTACTCAGGAGTTAGTCAGCTTTTTGCAGAGGACCTCGACACACGCCTAACATGTATAAATACACTCTGGCTGCCTGTCCCCCCTACACAATGAATTAATAATAATAATGTTATTATTATTAGTGAGAATGTGGGCGATATAAGGTTTAGTCAACATGATGAGATGACTGCTATCTTTTGTGTATATCTACACTTGTGTTCATCTACACTTTTTTGTGTTCATCTACATTTTGTGTTCATGAACATTTTGTGTTCATCTACACTTGTTCCAGCGAGGAGGTTCTGCCAGTACACCCAGGCGCGCCTTCTCTTACCTGGTCGTCGCGGGCGGAGTACAGGGTGTAGTGGAGGACGGCGCCGGTGAATGGTTGTGGAGGCGCCCACGTCACCAGCAGGGTAGTTGCGCCAGTCACCAGTACTCGCACGCGCTCCGGGGGACCTGGTACTGGGGGTGGGCGATTGTGGTTAGTTAGTTCCATTCCATCCAGAGATCGACCCCCAAAGACACATTCATCAATTTTTAACATGCTGTTCATTAAAAAAAAAGAAGAATTTTCTCAAATATAAATTATTATTATTATATATTACCATACTGTGCATTTTTAGGCATAGGTTAGGTTAGGTGTTCAGGTTCTGTTGGCGATTATTTGTGTTTGTAGTACGTGGGTGAAGCATTTACAGCAACCCGTCCTCGACTCAAGTCCATTACATCCAACGGTCGACCCCACAGACGCATTCATAAACTTTTACATGCTGTTCAGTGAAAACGGGAATTTTCTCAAATATAAATTACTATTATCAAATATAAATTACATATACGCCGATATATGCACAATATTAGCATATTGTGCATATATCGGCATAGGTTAGGTTAGGTTAGGTGTTTAGGTTCGGTTGGCGATTATTTGTATTTGTAAAACGTGGGTGAAGCATTTATAGCGATGTGGTTAGAACAAAACTCGTCAGTGAAGCATTTGTTCCGGAAGTGTTCGAACGAAATCAGTTGTGAGTCGTGTGTAAACCATTTTTCATTCATAAACAGGGGGTTTGACGGGTGGATGGAATCACTTTTGGGTCTTTGTTTGTAGGACGGGCTGCACGACTCACAACCGATGACGTCCGAACACTTCCGGAACAAGTACTTCGCTGACGACTTTTGTTCGAACCACAACGCTGTAAATGCTTCACCCACGTACTACAAATACAAATAATCGCCAACACAACGTACACACCTAACCTAACCTAACCTATGCCTAAATATGCACAGTATGCCAATATATTATAATATTAATTCATATTTGAGAAAATTCCCGTTTTGAATGAACAGCATGTTAAAATTTATGAATGCGTCTGTGGGGTCGACTGCTAGATGGAATGGACTTGAGTGGAGGACGGGTTGGAGTCCTGTGTAAACCTTTTTCATTCATAAACAGGGGATTTGGCGGGTTGCACGGAATGAACTTTGGCCTTTGTTTATGAGGATGGGCTGAGAACATATATGCACTAGAAAGGGTACCAGGAAAAGGTGTAGTATAGTGTGAGGAGCCGTGAATGGTGTTACTCCACATTACCTACCATCATCCTCTGTTATACAGAAAACGGGATGGTTGGGGGCACTGAAGCCAACGTCGTTGAAGGCCTTGACTCTGACGCTGATGTTGGAGGCTGAGGGCAGCCCGTCCAAGTTCTTCTCCAGGTTGGTTGTCAGCACCTCCCACATCTGACCTGAGGACCACATCACACAATATCTTAAGAAAGACCTTTTGACCAGATACAATACTTTATTAAACTTTTGATTGTGCTTAGTAGTGCTCAATAAAGATTGTATTGTAGGTTTATTATTGTTGTTAATATGTTATTCTCCTTTACGTTCCTAGAAGAGAAAATGGATGTAAACTGAATGCCAACCACAACAGACTGGTCGTCTTTACAATAAATGCTCTGTTCACGAGCAATTATTTTTTCAGTTGTTGCAAATTATTAAGTTGGGTTGGGTTAGATTACTAACTAGGCTAAATAAATTACAATTCAAGGATTAAATATGCATAATATAATAAATATACATACCTAATAACGTATTAGGGAGCCACTGATAAATAAAAACAAATAATAACCCACCAACCGACACCAGTCACCAGCCGAGCACACACACTCGTGCGGCAACTTGGGACCCGCACCAAGTCAGCTCACTCACTGGAGATTCACCCGGCAACGAGCCGAGTGAATCACGGAGAAGAGGCTTAGTGTCACTATGATGGGGACTCTGCTTAGACATGATCCGTTGTCACGTGTTCACACCCAACTGAGCCACGGCGACTTATCCTCTCTTCTTATCTTGGATGTCCTTTTAGCTCCCCTTATTTTCTGTGTACTGTCGTCCAGTCTGCGTTTATCTCTTTTCTTTCCTACTAGAACCCTCACAGGAACAAGTTTGTCTTGTGCAAACAAGGTGCAACCTTGTTTGCACGTTGTGCAAACAAGGTTGTCTGACAAGCAAACATTTAATGCAAACACGGGAAAATAACGTATTATAACTAGATGGCGATTCTATAAATGTCACCATTCTTCCATATGACCTCTACTTATTATAATGTTCTTCACTAGGCTGCTGCTGCTGCTTGCTCTTCCTGATCCATTCGCTGTGCAGCAGTCACTTCACCGTCTGAGCTAGGCTTCTAAACATACATTAATAATCATGATAACTCAATACGCTCACCACCTCTCATTGCGTCACGTGCACCAACATATATCTATTCCTCGCACAGACACACATAGACGACCAAACAATCCTCTTTATTTCGTCGTGTAGATTAGTTTCTCTTGTTAGCAAACAGGCTTCCTCCTTGCTGAATAATCTTCCAGTCAACCAGCAGCAGAATCATTCATATGCAGGCGATGAGTCACAATAACGTGGCTAAAGTATGATGACCAGACCACACACTAGAAGGTGAAGGGACGACGACGTGTCGGTCCGTCCTGGACCACTCTCAAATCGATTCTCATCCTATGAATGATTCATAGGACCAACCTATGAACCATTCATAGATTGGTCCTCGAGTAAGGTACTGCTGCATCTGCAATGAACGTATATGATACTACATCTACCCCGAACTTATACCATGCTACATCTACCACGAACATATACGATACTACATCTACCACGAACGACCTACGTCCACCATACATGAACCGCAAAATTGCAGGAGTGACGACGCTCGCTGGCCGGCGCCAAAATGGCGCTCTTCCAGGTCACCCATAAATTTTACTTCGACTGGCACTGTCGACTTCTTTAAGTCTTGACTTGAGAGTAGGGAGGGGGGTTAAGCACCTCGGTACCAACTCTGTTTACCTGCCAAACGATTCTCTTCAGGGATACACAGGGCCTCTTCTTAGGCCTTCCACAGTGGACCATCAGGAAACAACTGCCCAACAGAGTTCAGATCGCTCTTTTCAACGCCACTCAACAAGTCGTCCTCCCACCGCTCACAACACTTGTTCCTCTCGAAGATTCATGCAGATTCTTCAAAACGTCCAATATCCTATTTCCCCTGGAACGACGACGTGCGTACTGTCCCTCTGTGGCCAGATTCACGAAAGCACTTACGCAAACACTTATGAACCTGTACATCGTTTCTCAATCTTTGGCGGCTTTGTTTCCAATTATTAAACAATTAATGAGCTCCGAAGCACCAGGAGGCTGTTTAAAACAATAACAACAGTTGAATGGGAAGTTTTCTTACTTGTAAACTGTTTAATAAATGTAACCAAAGCCGTCAAAGATTGAGGAAAGATGTACACGTTCGTAAGTGCTTTCGTGAATCTGGCCCCTGACATCCACACTAGCAAGTGACGTCACAAGTAAGTAAGTAATTATCAAAAGAAGGCACCAAACCGGGAAGGCTATGTAGCACCATCAAAGACGCAAAATAATCAGAGGGCGCTAAATATCACCAAGGATGCCAATACGAGAACAAAAACGCATAAGGCGAACGATATCAAAAGTATCCGAGTCACCAAGAATTCTATCGAGGGACAGGTGACCGCGAGGGGCGGTCGGAAAGCAAGACACACGCTCGTCCTGGAAGTCAGGACATTCAAGAAGGACATGCACGACCGTAAGAGGGACAATGCAACTAGGACAATAAGGAGCAGGGCGGCGCTCCATCAAGTGACCATGGGTTAAGCGAGTATGGCCAATACGCAACCTCGCTAGAGCTGTTTCCCACCGCCGGTTACGGTGGAAGGAGGACGGCCACGAGGAAACACAACATTTAAGAGTACGTAGCTTGTTACCAGTAACAGACAACCAAGAAGCCTGCCAACGGGTAAGGACTGAGGAATGGATAACCGGGTAAAAGTCGGAATACGGAATGCCTTTACGAGAGATGGGACAAGAGCGGACAGCTTCCTTAGCGGCAGCATCCGCACGCTCATTTAAAGACACGCCAATATGGCTGGGAACCCAACAAAACTCAACCGACTTAAATTTACTGTGAACGAGAAACAGCCAATGCTGGATCTCGACAACTACCGGATGAACTGGATTAAAGCACCCGAGAGCCATGAGGGCACTACGAGAGTCAACAACAACCACAAAGGAAGACTGACAACGAGAAAGCAGGAGACGAAGAGCATAGAGAATAGCATAAAGTTCCGCTGTAAAGATGCTAGTCTCCGGAGGCAAGCGACACATATAAGTGCGATCAGGAAAAACAACAGAGTAGCCAACACCGTCCGCTGACTTAGACCCATCGGTGAAGACAGAAACGGAGCGGGAGTGAGAAGAAAAGTGCTCGAGGAAAAGGCGTTTTAGAACTGTAGGAGGGGTAAAAGCTTTAGTGATACGAGTCAAGGATGTACAAAACCGCGGAAGAGGGACCCTCCACGGGGGCAAAGAAGGAACAACACGAGGAGAAACATCAGAAATACGAATGGAAAGAGAATCCTGCAGGCGAGATAACCGGACAGAAAGAGGGAGGTGGTGAAGAGGAACAGGAACCGCAGGAGGGGTAAAAGTTAAAGCACGACAGAGACGAGAGGAAGGATGTTGCAAGGACCGCGCAAGATAGCGAAGACAGTAGCGATCACGGCGGTCCTGGAGAGACAGGAAGCCAGTGTCAACATACAAGCTAAGGACGGGAGTCGAACGAAAGGCACCAGAACTGAGGCGCAACCCAGTATGGTGCAAAGCATCAAGACGGCGAAGAGTAGAAGGAGAAGCAGACGAGTAAGCAGGGCAACCATAATCGAGCTTAGACAGGACGAGAGAGGAATGTAAAGCAAGGAGAGTGCGCCTATCTGCCCCCCAAGAAGTATGGGACAAGACCCGAAGGAGGGTAAGGGACTTAGAGCACTCAACACGGAGGTAAGAGATATGGGGAGACCAAGACAAACGAGTGTCAAGGAATAACCCCAAAAGCTTCGCGGAATCTTTGTATTCAAGGGGATGACCATAAAGTGACAAAGAGGGACGAAGAACAACCCGTTTCCGCGTAAAAGTCATGGCACAAGTCTTAGAAGTAGAGAACTTGAAGCCATGACCTGTGGCCCAAGACGACACGGCATCAATCGCAAGTTGAAGCCGGCGTTGAAGGAGAGGCGAATCATCACCCTGACAACAAAGGGTAAGATCATCGACATAGAGAGCGGAGAAGACACCAGAAGGAAGAGAGGAAAGAAGACCATTGAGGGCAACCAGAAAAAGAGTAGTGCTCAGAACACTACCCTGGGGCACACCTTCGTATTGCTGAAAAGGGGGAGAGAGAGCGGTACCAAGGCGCACCCGAAAGGAACGACGAGAGAGGAAGCTGCGGAGAAAGAGAGGGAGATGACCACGAAGGCCAAAAGAATGAAGTTGAGATAGGATATGATAACGCCAAGTGGTGTCGTAAGCCTTTTCTAGGTCAAAAAGGACGGCAACAACGGAGGTCTTCGCAGCAAAAGCAGTACGTATATAGACCTCCAAGTTCACCAGGACATCTGTCGTGCTGCGGCACTTGCGGAAACCAAATTGAGAAGGGGAGAGGAGGTGATGGTGTTCCAGGAACCACATCAGACGAACGTTAACCATACGTTCAAAGAGTTTGCAGACACAACTTGTGAGAGCAATAGGGCGAAAGTCCTTAGGGGAAGTACCCAGAGACCCTGGTTTGCGAACAGGGAGGACAACGGCATCGAGCCAGTCCTCAGGGACTGACGACGACTCCCAGATCCGATTATACAGACTCAGTAAATACTGAGACGTGCTCGGAGGGAGATGGCGAAGCATCTCATAATGAATACCATCGGAGCCCGCCGCCGTAGAACCGCAGAGGGCCAGGGCAGAACGAAGTTCAGAGAGAGAGAAGGGATCATTATAGGGAAGCTGAAGATGAGTGCAGAAATCTAAAGGACGAGACTCAAGGACAGGTTTACGAAGAAGGAAAGATTGGGGAAGATGAAGACCAGAGCTAACAGAAGAAAAGTGGGAACCCAGTTCGGAAGCGACCTGCAACGGGTCCGCCACAAGAGTATCATGGAGGTGAAGGACCGGTGAAACATCGGGAACGAACTTGCCCGCTATCTTGCGGATACGCTTCCAGATCTGGGCCAGAGGGGTTTCGGACGTAATTGTCGAGACATAAGATGCCCAACATTCACGTTTAGCCGTACGGATGGCCCTACGGGCCACCGCACTCGCTTTCCGAAAGAAAAGAAAAGAATCGGTCGTCTGCCTACGGCGGTGC